CCCACATAGCATTTTTCTGGGGTCTTCAAAATCAGAAAGAAATGTATAGTTCTGTAACTTATGTACAGGCAGTGCCAGCGGAATATGATATGTGAGAGCAAATTTTTTGGGGCCATGTTGCGTCTCTCTCTAATTTCAGGTCCTCAGAGGCTTACACTCAATGATAAACTAGTATGTTTCCGATAAATTTGTGGTGACTCCACAGTCGCACACAGGTAGAAGTGATGCAAAAATTTTCTTGTGAGCACACCATTTTGATAATCTTAAAATCAATTGTGAAATGACAGGTTTTCCATTTTGAAAGTGCTCTGGTTGGATCCATGTTGGAGAAAAGGAACAAAAAAGATGAATATAGGGCATGTTTTGTTTGTTGAGTCGAGCACGATAGACTTTGACTGTATTATGGAAGAAAATTTTTTGTAGTCATTTTAACTTTGTACATTTTAACGTTCTAGATAAAGATATTGAGACCTAAATCCTCCATGCATGAGCGAGGACCTTCCTCCTATATACGAACCTAGATGATTCACGTGTATTTCATAGTCAATTGTATTCCGGTCTCTCTAGTTTTTCTGAAATTTCAAAGCTCAAACGCTGAGATATAATTTATTGAATTCTTTTATAAATAACAATGTTCATTTATAGTTTATATTGTCGAATTTAATTTGTTACTATATATCAAAGATGTAATATCTTTTAGTGAGGCGGGGCGGAGCAGGACGGGGCGGAGCAGGGCGGGGATTTATGTCATCACTACTCTCTCTTAGTAAAGACGAACAGGAGAAGAGATACAAAATCCAGGAGGGACCATTAATTAAGAATGAAAAGGAAAGAAAAGTTTTATCAGTCACAATCAGCAACTCCCATTGCACTTTGTATAAAGAATGATAATTATTCAACTTGTGACTTGTATGATCATGCATTACAGCCTACCATCTATGGCAGCAAAGTCTATATTCTTTATTACAGTATTAATGCTGCTCCTTTTTTCAAACTTCCTGTGCGATAGAGGGTTCCCAATCTCCAGGAGCCAACCATGGAATGAACTTTTCTATACACAGAGAATGGAGGGTTGAGAAGTGCCACTTTGAAATTCATCATTTTCTTCCTTTATCTTTTTTGAAAGGTAAACTAGGCAACAGTTCTTAAAGAGTCTTTGTCTACATCATTTTCTGCCTCTATTGTAGACGAAGCTGTTATATTTTGGAAAGTAGTTTTTTAGCTGATAGTATAGCCTCCAAAGGTAAACACATACCATGTAAGCGATCACCTCTTATCAAAATTCATTGGATAATCTGAATCTATATACTCAATGACTTAATCTGTATTTCTACCAAAACGTAAGCAAGCATTAGTAGAGCCATTCAATTATCTGAATATCCATTGTATTGCTTTCCAATATTTCTTGTCAGCATTTGACATGTACCTAATAACTGCATGTGCCAAATTTATTCTTGTACAAACCATAGTATGCATAGGCGAACTAGTTGCACTGAAACGAGGAACCCGAGACATATAATTAATGTCTTCATTTGATTGAGGACACAATCCATATGATAATTGAAGTGGGTAGCCGAGGGAGTATTGATAGTTTTAGTATTCAGCATGTTGAACCTTTGAAACACCTTTTCAATGTACCATTTTTGACTCAAGTAAAATTTGTTAGCCTTTCTATCTCTCAAAATTTTTAGATTAAGAATTTTCTTTGCTGCACATAATATATATATATATATATATTTTTTTTTTTTTTAATCTCAAACTTCTTACTAAGTTGAGATTTCACATTTCTAACATTGGCTTTATCTCTGGCTGCTATGAGTATATCATCAACATATAATAATAAATATGTGATCGATCCGTTGTCTTTTTTCTGAAGTACACACAAGTCTCATTATTACTTTTAATGAAACTATGAGTAGTCATGAATTACTTGAACCTTTTGTAACTCTATTTCAGTGACTGCTTTAGTCCATACAAGAACTTATTCAACAAGCATACAGTCTTTCTTTCCAAAAACTTTGAAACTATCTGGTTGTTGCATGTAAATGTTCTTCTCAAGTTCTCCATGCAAGAATACTATCTTGACATCTATCTACTCAAGCTCCAAATCATTCTTTACCACTATCCCAAGTAAAGTTCGAATTAAACTATGCTTTACAACTAGTGAGAATACATCTGTGAAATCAACACCTGGAATCTGATTGTAGCCCTTTGCTACCAATCTGGTATTATAGCTAGAATTTTCAATCCTCGATATCCATTCCTTCTTTTTGAAACCCACTTGCAACAAACAATCCTTTTACCTTTAGGTAATTTCACCAAAGTCCCAGGAATTGTTTTTATTTAATGACTCCATCCCATCCTGCACAGCAATCAATCATCTGCTAGAATCATTGCAACTGATTGCCTCTGATTATATAGCAGGCTCCTTAATGGAATCAATACATTCTGCCACACTTAATTCATAAGCTACCAAATCTACTTTTCCATACTTTTGTAGAGGTCTAATCTGTCTACGAGGTCTATCCTTAGCAATTGAATACTGTGATGTTGCTGGTGGTGTAGGCTAAGTATTATTGTCTATTAATTCTGCACTAGACTGATCTGTAGTAGACTGTTTTAAAACATCCGATAGTTCATTTGGACCAATTTTCAACTTCATCTAAGTAGAATGATTTTGTTTCCCAATTTTATCAAAAGCCCAAGGAAGTGAACCATAAACCATAACAAGTTCATCAGATACTGCATTTCTACTAACTACAACCTTTCTTGTTTTAGGATACCACAATTTATACCCATTCACACTTGATTAATATTCGAGAAAGATATACTTTCTAGACCTTGTCTCTAACTTTTCATTATCCACATGAGTATAAGCAGAACGCCCAAATATTTTTAAACCAGAATAACAATAAGGTTTGCCAGACTATATCTCTTATGGTGTCTTTTTTTCAATGGCAGCTGAGGGCGAGCGATTAATTAGAAAACAAGTTATAGTGGTAGCTTTAGCTCGAAATGTCTAAGGAAATCCAGAATTTGAAAGCATGAAATGAACATTTTCCATCAAAGTTCTATTCATCTGTTCTGCCACACCATTTCATTAAGGAGTTTTAGTACTGTTAAGTGTCTTTAAATGCCGTCGGACATGTAAAAACTATTAAATTCATATGAACAAAACTCTAACCCATTATTTATGTCTAGACATTTCACTTGCTTTCTAGTCTATTTTTCTATCAATATTTTCCACTCCTTGAAGATTCCAAAAACATCACTCTTCTGTTTTAAGAAGAATACCCAAACTTTCCTGGATAAATCATTAATCATTGTCAACAAGTAATAAGCATCTTCTTTTGAAGACACCCTGTCCGGTCTCCAAAGAATTGAATGGATATATTCAAGTGTTTCCTTCGTGTTGTATATTTCTTTAGTGAATTTGACTCTTTCCTGTTTCCTAAAGACACAATGCTCATAAAATTTCATCTTACTGGTCTTCTGACCATCAAAAAGCCTTCTCCTGCTCATTTTTACCATACCTGTCTCACTCATAAGCCCAAGCCGCACATTTCAAAGTTTTGCAATTTCCTCATCAGTAAAAGAAGAAGTAGAAATTGCACCATCTCCTGTAACTGTGGAACCTTGCAAAATGTGTAGAGCACTTGGACTCGCCTTAAAAACTCTACCTTCATCAGTGTATTTATGACCCTTTGAGTCAAGTATGCTCAAAGATATCAGATTCTGCTTCAGTTCTGGAACGTGCCCTACATCTGCAAGTGTTCTAATAGTACTATCGAACATTTTGATTTTGATTGTACCAACTCCGACAATTTTGCAAGGCGCATTGTTTTCCATGATCACTGCACCTCTTAGAACCCTTTCATATGTTGTAAACCAGTCGCTATTGGGACACATATGGAAAGTATATGCAGAGTCAATAACTCATTACTCATAAGGTTTGGAACCCATGTCAGATATCACAAAAAGCTCTCTTTCACTTTGTCCATCTTCTACAATGTCAGCCTCCGTTGTGTTAACAGGTTGCTTTCCTTTTTCAGTAGCATCAACAACTTTATTCTTACTTATCAATGAATAGCATTCAGCTCTGATATGCCCCTCTCTTTTTAAAAGAATGACATACTTTCCTTACATGTCTGAATTTTGACCTGCCCCTCATACTGCTACCAATATTTTTATCCTGATTTCTCCCACGAACAACAAGGTCTTCAATTTGACTCCCAAATCCTCCAGCAGGATGCCTCATCTTCTTCTTAGATATTAAAGTATCATAGACCTCTTCCATAGTAAGAGTATCCGACTATGGAAAATAATCTCTAAAAATCACATATGATGACGACAGAGAACACAAAAACATTAAAGCCAAGTCCTCATCATCATACTTAACAATGTCTCCAAATCGATCACGATTTCTTTGAACATAGTTAGTGATTATCCTATGACGAACTTTCGAATATCAGGTGAGAATACACACCCTATTTCAAATGTAAAATCTCTTTGTCATGTAAAATTGCTCCAATCACAATGCAGTGGTATTTTTCTCTTTTAGAACATCCTCAAGAATTTGATTTGATAGATGTAGATAAATTTGAGATTGGGCAATCTGATCCCTAAGCTGCTTTTCATCCTGCATTCAGGTTGAAGGCATCTTTATCAAAGCCAATCAATGCTTCCTTCAAATCCATCTATGCGAGAACTGCTCATATCTTCACTAGCCATAAAGTAAATCTCATATTTTGATCCAATAACGAAATATTATATTTCATCATTGCCATGCAGAATAATCAACCTTACTTTGATACCACTTGTTACGAATTGATCGCAAGATAATAACAATAATGAAATAAATAAAAATACTAAGATTTATGTGAAAACCCAATAAGGAAAAAATTGCAGGTAGAGGAGGAGAAATCCAATATAATTTATAGTAATTGTATTTACAAGAAGATCTCACCACTCTCAATTAAACTCTATAACTCTCATGATATTGCATGAATGTTATGAAAACAATAGAAGCTGTGACTTATATATATAAAACCCTAGAAATCAAGTTGTAGATGAATAGGAGTCCAAAAATAAGTTAAAATGTGAAAGGGACCTAGGCCTGATAACCCTATCGTTCGAGCAATAGGCGAGCAATAGGTGGGCGACAACTCCGCCCCTCGAGCGCCAGGTGGATGGTTGGTGAGCGACAAGTTTTTGTAGAAAATATGCAGGGGCCGCTCAAGCGGCTAGCTAGCGGTAGGCTAGTGAAAATGAGTCTGTCCATTTTTGAGCAGTCCTACCCCTAACAATTATGGTTTTAATAGTCCAATATACTAAACATGCTATAATCGCTGAATAAAATGACAAGTTCAGTTAAAAGAGTTGAACTAGAAATGCCATTAGTAAAGGATTCTACGGTGTATTGAAAATTGATCTAGCTCTTCCACAATTCTACTATTTGAACAGAAAATGAAACTGAAATCCAATGGGACATTTTCTGGTGGGCTGCAGATTCAGATGGCTCCACAAATCAGCAGCAAAGTCAAGCTTATGTTTATGAAATTAATTGAAAAAAAAAAAAAATTACCCCCACATAGTATAGGTTTATATATAGGGTTTAAGTGTTCATATAGGAATTAAAAAATAGTAAAT